CCTTCCTTCCTTCCTTCCTTCCTTCCTTCCTTCCTTCCTTCCTTCCTGTCTTGTGTCTGTCATTGGTAGTTCCCCCATATATACCTGGATTTAAGTAACCCTAACTATAGACTTGCCCTCTATCTCCTGTTTAAAAGGTGTGTGGCATCAGCAAATAGCCTACACACATCTCCATAGCAACAAATCCCACTATTTCCTTCATCCCCAACCTAAAGTTTCTACCTGCAGCTGCTTTGAGTGAATAGAAAAACAGTGAACCTGTGTCTATGCACATTGATTTACAAGGTCAAACTCGTTGGTAATAATAAATTATCTCTGAAATCAATACTAATAACTGGTATGATTGTATGAAGTAGGATTGCCTTAAGAATATGTTTTTGTTCATTCATTATATGGTTAATGTTGGAGGGGGTTGTTATTCAGAATGCTGCATTACCAAGTATAGCAATATAAAACACATCTAGTTACATAGATGAGAAAGCCCAATTTCCTCCCACTTTTGCCAAGTAGCAGGTGCTCTCCAGTCCTTAATGCTTGACAGCTGTTTAGTAAAACGTACACAGTGCCATCTAGTGGTCCATTGTCATGATTGCATTTTCTAAATCATTTTGGAATTGAGATGACAATATTAAGCGACTCATAGGTACTACTGTTAGGCCTGAAACAGACTTCCTGTTGGTTTCCCACTGAATCCCAACTTAGCATTTCTTAGTGCTCCTACTTAAACGGTAAAAAGATTGATGATACTTCTTTTTCAGAAATTAGTATGGGGCAGTTAAGAGTACTTGCTGCTCTTCCAGATCACCCAGGTTCAATTCCCAGCGCCCACATGGCTGCTCACAAGTGACTATACTTCCAGTCCCAAAGATTCCAGCACCCTCTTCTGGCCTCTGTGGGTCCCAGGCACACATATGGTACACATACATACATGTAAGCAAAACATCCCTAAACTTTGAAAATAAACAAAAATAACTAGAAAATTACAGAAGCATTGTAAAGTGGTAAAAACTAAGACAAAACGTCTAATCATGGTGACAGAGGCACCCATAAATAAAATGGACTGTATTGGCCTGGGCATAGTTGCATAAGCCTTCAATCCCAGCAGTCCTTGAGATGAGTTGACTTTTGGGTTTGAGGCCAGCCTGGTCTACACAGCGAGTTCCAGGACCGTGTTAGGTGTTTTTGCACACCACCATGCCCTGTGTCATTAAAATGATCTCTCCAGTAAATGGTTTTGTTGTTCCCATTTCTTGCCTGTCTGTCTGGATTTCTTTCTCCCATTAGACTCAAAAATAATATTTCCAAGCTGGACTTCATCATGTAGCTCTCCTTACTACCTGTGTATTCATGCTTGGCATAAAAATCAAATCCTGCTCACAGCTACAGTACAGCCTTGGTCTCCTGGCTCCACCGCAGCCCTCATGACTCCATTCTGTACCTAGTGCTCTGAGTCTTACCATATGCTACCATACACAGCTAGTGCTTCCTGCCCATGTGACCGGGTGACACTTGTGTCCTCGCCAGAAGTAGGACCTAATATGAAGCGGGAGCCACATCTTCTGCCATATACTTTTGAGCCTCAGTACATTACTCCTAATTATAAACCCAGTTTTACTGAGCTCATTTGTGAGTCTCTGCCCTTACAATTGGCTAGACCCCGTGCTTTGCTGTTCGGTAGAGGCCTTGGGTGTGAGGAAACACACATGCTGAGTGAGCACTTGTACTTTAAATGACTTCAATATGACATCTCAGTGTTTTATTTGCCCGTGACAATAAGTCGTCATTTCCTGTGACATGCCCAGTGTTTCACAGGGGTTGACTCCTTTAAACCACACCGTGATTAAATGAAGATATTAGCAACACTCTGAAATCCGACTGTACTGAAAGATGGTGATTCCAACCACCATCCCTCACAGCCGTGCCACATTGTCACTTCTCATTCAAATATGTCCTTGGAAGCCCTTGCTTCGTGGTGAGCTGCTTTGGCATTTTCTCGATCTTCAGATGTGTGACTGTACCCCATGGTACTAAGTGGCTTTGACGGGTGCTGGAGGGGTGAACATTTATCGTAGCACATACAGACTTTCTGTGGTATTGACAGTACGGAAACAGGCAGCCACGTTGAAGGGAGGCACATGGCAGAGGTACAAAACATGAAGATGAAGCCGGAAAGACATCCTTGAAGATGTGGTATTGATGCTGAGGTGTGGTGAGTGAGACAGAAATGAGAAATACAGAGGTCAAATTTAAACAAACAGGCAAAAACCTTTGCAAGTGATGTTTGGATTTGACATTAATGACGAATTTTGAAAGGACATGACATATTAGGCAAGTTGTTACAGAAAGAGGGCCCGCTTGTTCATCCTGACCGCCTGGCCAACTTAGCCCCAAAATAACCACACAGAAACTGTATTAATTAAGTCACTGATTGGCCCATTAGCTCTAACTTCTTATTGGTTAACCCTTACATATTAGTTTAACCCATTTCTATTAATCTGTATATCACCACGAGGTCATGGCCTACCAGGAAAGATTCAGCATGTCTGTCTCTGGTGGCTCCATGGTGTCTTTCTCCTCCCCCACCTCTCTTCCTCCCAGCATTCAGTTCTGCCTTCCCTGCCTACCTAAGTTGTGCCCTATCAACTAGGCCAAGGCAGGGTTTTTTTTATTAATCAATGAAAGCAACACACAAACAGCAAGTGACCCATCATATTGCAGTTAAAACCTGAAGTTACTCCAGTCTAATCGCTGGCCCCTTAGATATTTTAGATACATCTTGAGAAGCAGGCTCACAGAGTATACAAATAATGACAGGAATCACAAATATTATACTCAAGAGTAAAAATAAGCCCCAAAAACTTGCATTGATAAATGCTACATCTCTGGGATGCTAATTAAACTTAGATAAAAGCAGGGCTTGAAAGACAATCAGAGACTAAGAGCACTTGATGCTCTTTTGGAGACCAGGATTGGGTTTCTAACACCCATGTGACACCTCACAATCATCTAAACCTCCAGTTTCAGGGGATCCAACACCCTTTTCTGGTCTTCGTGGGTATTGCATGGATGTGGTGCACACATATATGTAGGCAAAACATCCATACTCATTAAATAGAAGCAAATAAATCTTTTACAAAAGAGTAAGATATAAAATAATGCAGGAAAGACACTGGCTACCAGCCTCTGCCCGCTATGTGATCACAAGTGAGCCCGCACACACAAACACAGACGTACACTAGCCTCCATCCAGTCTAGTCTCTTCATTTATAAGTATTTAACGAGAAAATTAAAGCACATGACAACCCAAAAGCTTGTAAATAATTACTCATAATGACTTTATTTGTAACAGCCAGAACCTGGATCAACTCAAATACCCATCAACAGATGAGGCAGGAACCAAACTGTGATGTCCCCATACAGGCAACAGAAATGAGGGAATTGCCCACACCTGCCCAATAAAGGTGACTCTCAAAATAGTTATACTCAGTAGAACCATTCAAGTAAACAAATAGAATTCTAGTTATTTAGAATTCAATAAATTTCTAGTAGAAGGAAATAAAAGCAGAGTTGCCTGATTGAAAAGAGTGTGCCACAGGGCACACATGAACTCTCTTGACAGTGATGGCTCCTGGGAGGTCATAGTCATACTTCAGAACATACAGAGAAAGACTTTCTGAGTATTTCAGGAGAAAGCAACCAGGAATATAGTTGCTTACCAGGTTGGTTAAGTAATCTGTGACTTAGTTCTGTTGTTGTGTGGCCTTAACCCTTTTTGCTTTCCTTCCTGCCCCACCTCTTATTTCAACCTCTATGTGTGTGTGTGTGTGTGTGTGTGTGTGTGTGTGTGTGTGTATAAAGGTGTGTGTATGTGCATGTATAAATATATATATATATTGGAAATAAATTCATTTTAAATGCTCAAAATAAATTTTGATCTCCTTTGGGCACTTAGAACTTAAGTTCTTGGCTTCTTTTCATTGCAAACAGTCACTGTGTTCAGTGGGGAATTTCTGTAATCCCAATCTACTTGAATTTGACTACTTATTTTGCTAGTGATTATTTTACATTGACAGTTAACTCCCCTGCCTCTCAGTTTTCCTCCATGTAATATTGGAGTAATGACCATATTTCAAGGGTGTATGTAAGACAGAAAATGATGACACTAATTGCCAACTTGACAAGATCCAGCCTCACCTAGGAACTATGCCTGTAAACACATATATAAAGAAACTTCCAGACTTAGTTCATTGAAATGGAAGGCCACCCTGTTGTATGGTTAGCACCATTCTGTAGGGTGGGGTCCTAGACTTAATAAAACGGAAAAGCTGAACTGGATGGCATCACTGGTCTCTTCCTTCATCCTGATTGTGGATGCAATGTGACCAGCTACCATGGCTTCCCCACTATCATGGACCACACCCTTTCTTCCTAAAGTTGCTTTTCCTGGAGATTTTGTCACAACCATGAGAAAATACACGTGGTGTTTGGTAAGTCATTTGCTTCAAGTCCTGGAGATGGACTTCTCGTGTGCACCCCTCGTGTGCAGTTGAACACATGTGCAGAACCTAGACAACCCAGGGACTTGTAAGCAGCATGCCATCCTCCTATGTGCATTGGGCTAATGTGTTCGCTCTGCTTCCATTGTAGTGCACCTGGTGGACATCTGGAACGTCATCGAAGCCTTGCGGGAAAACGCTTTGAATAACCTCGACCCAAACATAGAACTCAATGTGGCCCGCCTGGAGGCTGTGCTCTCCACCATTTTTTACCAGCTCAATAAACGGATGCCGACCACTCACCAAATCCATGTGGAGCAGTCCATCAGTCTCCTGCTGAACTTCCTGCTCGCAGCCTTTGACCCGTGAGCCCCCTGTGACTGTCAATTACTCTCTCTGTGTTTGGGTTCTGTTTTCTTTTGCACTTTTCTTGGCCATTTTCCTAAATGATTTTCTAGATTCATTGTATTAGATCACGGATACCGTTATAGTCATAACATCGTTAGATGTTATGTTCATAATTAAAACTTTAAAGGCTGTAGAGACTAGAGAGTAAACAAGCACACAGGAGTGGGGGCACAGCTCTATCTTATGAGAAAACCTTTATTTGCCTTGTGGTCTGGTTTGTATGGGTGCTCAGAATGTGGTATGATGGTTTGCACGTGGAGTAATTTGACAAAGCATGAAGCGGGAGTCTAACCTGATTCTTTGACATTTAACCTGAGACTGTGGCTTCTGAAGAATCCTAGGAAACCCTAGGAGGCGGGAAAGAAATGGAAGAGTTTCTTACCTAGCCTAGGAAAGTAACACTGACTGGTGTTGTGTGGGCTGTCAGTGGGGAGCCACAGTGAAGCAGTGCGCCCCTGTCATGTTCCACAGCTGAGACGTGGCCTCATTACCCCGTAACTCCCCGCTCATAGAATGTGGAGAGCCTCAGAGCTGGCTGACATCTTAAAGAGTATTCACACAATCTCGTTTCACAAATGAAGAGTCCAAAGCACAAAGAGATTGTCACCTCTCCAGTTCTTTGTGGCAGTTGGTTGAGGACCGGGGACTTGACTCTTCTACTAAGGTTTCTCTTTCTAAGGTGTACATGACAGCCATATGACATATGAAAACTTCAAGAATTACTTGATCAGCCTGGGATTTCAAAAGGACTTTTACCCTCAGCTGCTAGTGTTGACACGACATCTCCACCTTAGCTTTGAACATGTTTTGAATATTAAAAAGGAAAAGTGCAAAGCTGACCTTTACACAATCGTGTTTTAACTCTGAACACTTTGCTTAGTCCCCCTGTCTGAGTGCTTTGAAACGTGCACTATGGCAATGGAGATGTCCCAGCCATGCTAATGGCATTGTCCTACTCACCAAAGTCACCACCCGTCACTTTGGAACATAGAATGTTCCCTGCTCAGTTTGATCAGCATATATTATGTCTCCGTGATGACTATATTGTGAGAAACCTGCAAGTCGAAAACAAATGCTTTTAAAATCAGCTGCCCAAATAGGTTTATTTCCTTGTGCATATTTTAAAACCAGACGATGGGCTCTGGTCTGACCACTGGAGAAATTAGGAAGGGACAATGAGAGAGGGTCATGGTTCCATGTGGCAGATGTGGCTGACGATAAAGTAGAAATAGGTCACAGAATTTCTGTAACAGAATTCCCATCCTGAGCACTTACCAAGAGCACAATGGAGTCTGAACTTGTGCTAAAGCTTGAGTGGGGACCCATTTGCTTAAATGTGTGCTATCCAGCATCCAATTGCTGCATCAAATACCTGAGATAAGTAACTTCTCGGGGGGAAGGTGGTCCATTTTGGCTGACAGTTTCCACAGCTTTGATCCAGGTTCACTTGGCACCATTGCCAAGGGGGCTGTGGGTAAAGCAGTCTACCAGAAAACGTCTGTTCACTTATGATGTCTGGGAGGCAGGGAGAGGGCACTGGAGTCCCTGTGTTCCCTTTAAGATCTCATGCTCAATGGCCTAACTTCTACTCAGTTCCATCATTTCCTAAATTACCACAGTCTGGCAACCAAGCCTTCAGTGTATGGACTGCAGGGTAGTGGTATCTAAATCATGGCCAAATGTGTTGATGGAAAATATTAAAATAATTACGGGACTGGAGAGATGTCTTAGTGGTTAAGAGAACTTGCCACTTCTGCAGAGGACTCGGGTCCAGTTCCCAGAACCCACATGGTGGTTCACAACCATCTATAACTGTAGTTTTGAGACCTCTGACGCCCTCCATGGGCACCAGCCACATACATGGTGCACATACATAAATGCAGACAGAACACTCACAGACATAAAACATTTTTAAAGGAAATATCATTCCTCCTAAGTTCTAAAATATTCTGAAAATGCATATAGAATAAAAGTTAAAACATAATTTGTACCCCATTCCATAAAAGTAGAAACAGAACCAGATTAATAATTATGAAGGGATTGTCATATGAAACGCATAGCACTCGACTCACAGAAGTAGAATTTTCCCATTTGTTTAGAAACATCAGTTAGATTATTTTACAGTAAGAGTAAGTAAAGCCGTCAATGTTCCCTAGATAGCTACTGATAATTGCCGTATTAGTTTAAGGCCAGATGAGTTCTAAAGTTGATTACTATCCTTTGATAAGAAGTCATCTGCAGAACTGTAGAGAAAAAAATGCTTATTAGCAGCTCTTCCTATAGAGCAGAAACCCCTGGATGTTTGATCAATCTGCACTGAGGGAGATTTATAAACATGCCACTGGAGCTCTGTTCTGGAAGCATCATGCTTTCTCTCCCCCGGAACAGAATTATCTACGTGGGAAGTCTTACCAGCGCCCAAGTTTTCCCATCTGACAGTCTTTGGAATTTCAGCAAGGAAAGCAAGCCACCAGGAAGTTCTGCTCACTAGCAATTCAACTTACGTGAGTGTAAGAAGAGAAACAAAAGAATGAAATAAATGTTCATTTCTATCTCTTATAATAGTAAACGTATGCTTACCCAAATGAGCTCCAGTACGGAATCGCGATATCACTTCCTGCCACCCACTACGGGGCCCATGTTTAAAGCAACTTGTTCTATTTTGACAGATAAGAATGAGCCCGGTACTAGTGAAGCAAAGATGTGCTGTTACTGTCCTACACTTGCCGACATCTCTCAGGGGCTGTCTCCCATTTTAAATTGGAATTTCAAATAAGAAAAATCAAAGGTACCTTGAGACCCTACGCTCTCGAGAGGTCATGTTTTCAAAAATCGGAAATGGAAGGCAGGATTGCAATTACAAACCATGTACAATGAGAATTTGCATTTGGAGAAATGGGCTCGTTCTTTTGGCAGGGCCTTAAAATTCACCAGACTCAGCCCTGTGGACTCTGAAATCATCACTAAGCCCTTCAGTTGGCTGCATCCCAGGAAACTGCAGTTACCTTCCTACAACCACAGTTCCCCAAGAATAGCACCCCTCCCCACAGCCCAAAAATCGGGATATGAGTGCTCATGCAGTGTGCTTCCGACAGACAAAGGCCAGCTCTGCAGTCACAAGACACGTCTGTTCTACACCCAGACCTACTTCATAAAGACTCTGATGCCTACGAAGGGCCACTTGAATATCGGGACTCACTGGCCTCTCCCCACACTTGCCAGTCTGTCACTGAAGAGATGAGCCCTTGAGCCTAAAGAAATTCTGTTTTTCTAATTTACCATCTCAAAATGGCCTTTCCCTGGAAACCTCCGAAACAGGTCTGATCTGTGGCCACAATCTTACTCTCTGAGAGCCTCTATAGAAATGGATGGACAGTCCTGGGGGAAAATGGGGTAAGAAATGTCAAAAGAGGAAAACCGAGGCTCTGGAGGAAGAAGACGCTTCCTCTTCTTTCTTCTTTCTACAAACCCTCAGAAGGTGGCCTGCCACCTGCCCTCTGCTGCCAGGAGCTGTCACCTGTCACATTCTCCTTCAGAATTCACCATCAAATGCCAACCAGCGATCACAGTCCCCTTCCGCCCACATCCCAAGTGAGGAAATCCCTTTGAAGAGCTTAAAGGAGATTTGCTGCCGCTGTTATATTTTTACATGAGGATATAGTAAAGCCAAAGAGAACTAATGTGGCCAGAAGTTGTAAGATGAAAACAATTCTTAGATGTCTAAGGGATCTGGCCTTTTGGGGGGTCACTGGCTCTGTGCAGCCCTTTGCCTTCCCAGTCAAACTGATCATAGTTCTCCGGGCCTCTGTTACACAAGATCCCCCTGCCCTCTGACAGAGCGTGTTTAACTATTCATTGGTCATCTCTCACAAGAAACTACAGGGTGGAGCTATAACTCATTTTTCTCATAGATAACCACACAACATGAGGACGAGTGAAGCAAAATCAAAGACTGGCCTCTCTTAGCTCGCATGCTTGTCTCCTTTCGCCCTTTCTTTTTAGATTTAATCCATAACTGCCATGCCCCTGCTCCAGAAACTAGCAAAGGCTATTATCCTTAAGTTCATACCATATATACCATGTGTTCCTGGCTGCTGATATGGATTCTTGTGGGGTATTTTTTTCCTTGATGCTTCAATGCGTTACTCTTATTTTCTTCCTACTTTCCCTGAAAAATACTAATAGCGAGTCAGTTATAATATTCTTAGCTTTCAATCCAGTCGTATCTTTCCCCTTAAGATGCCTCCTCACAAAGTTAGTTATATGAAAACAGTGGCCTGGGTTTGGTTTTTTTTTGTTTGTTTGTTTGTTTGTTTGTTAGCCAATATCATTCTCATACACACCTGGCCACTCAAAAGCCATAGTATAGCAGTGACCAATATCACAGGGAGTGGTATTTCCAGTTTGCAAACAGCAAGCTTCATTTTTAATGCAGATTCTCCAATGATAGTATATGGGTTACTTTTCTTATCCGGCCGCAATGCATCTAGTAGCAACCTCAGAGTATGATGGGTTTATCTTGACTTAAACCTTTAGGAGATGGCATCCATCGCGGTAGACAGGCTGCCCTGTCAGTAACTGCAGGAGTTTGCAGTGCAGGTGGATAGATGGTACCCACCAGGAGCAGGGAGAGCTCCAGAAGCAAGGTTGATCCTAATCCTCAAGGCCTGTCTTCACTTCCCCCAATGAGGCATCACCTTCCATTCCTATACAACATCCCCAGCTGGCAATCAAATATGCAAACACATGAGCCTGTAGGAACATTTCCCAACCAAACATAACTGATACATGTAATGTAATAGCTGCAGTAACAGGTAAGATCCACCCAGCGTTCACTGTGGGTCAGCAATGGCACTGGTTTGGCACTGTCATCAGAATGTTCCAGAGGTTGGAGGTGATGCTGCTGAGACACTCAGAGACTAAATAATTTCAGGTGATGTAGCATCAGAGTAAATGG